ATTTAAAAATTGTCAAAGTTGAAATTTATAATAAAAACATAGTAAATGGACTCAAACTTTTGGAAGCAACCATATATATATATATATATTTATTTATTCTGCAGTAGTGACCTGCAAGCAATGAAGTTAACAGTTGGAAAGGTCTTTACCTGAACTGTTAATGGAATGATAAATCACTCCCGAAGTTGTACTTAGAGTTTTAATAATTCTTTAAAACAGAGATGAGTGAGTTAGATAGAGTCTTAGCTTTAGTGATACATTCTCCAATATAAAGTATACACATGTTTAATAAAGCACATGTACCTAGCCTGACAGAGGGTTTTAAAATATATATTTATTTATTTATTTAAAAAAAAATGAATATAAAAAAAAGAACAACAAAAATTATGTATTCAAAAAAAGGTCACTGAGAATTTCAATTAATATTTTTAATATTTTTAGCAATACTAGATTAGATTCTCAATATTTATTAATCAAATAAAAAATTAACCGAATTATTTTTCGTATAAATAATAAAGACTAATAACAAATAATATAAATAATAAATTTTCAGCTTTTAATTCTAATATACTATATAGCATATGTACCTGTTTGCAGTATGTTAATCAAATCTTTTTATTATCTCCAGCTTGAGACGACGCCTGCAAAAACTACGCATTCATGTGCAAACATGTTTAAAATCCTAACCAAAAATATTATTCCGTCCTTACGTTCATGGATGATCTTCGTGGGAATTTTTGTTGCGTGCCATGTCGGCCATGTTAAAAGAGCCCAGGACCATACCCGCGAATTTAAATATCGAACATAAAGAGGTGCAGGGAAGGAGGCCAAATGTTTCTATTCAAGACCTCATAATATCAATAGACAATGGAAGAGAATGAAGTGAATGAACTGTTGTTATCTTGAAATCGATAACACGAATGAAATTTGGTGACGTATTTTACAAAGGAATATTTATAGCAATTAATTAAATTTGTTTGTTTCTTTGGACAAAAAAAATCAAAAAGAAATGATAAATTTGGCAAAAAGTAAAAAAATTCCTAAATCTTATATGGGGCATTGGATGATGATCTTGAATTGGCTTTTTCGTTTTGCATCTAGATAAAGGTCGCGTGAGTATTCCATAAGGTAGATTACCCTTGATAGTGTGCATTTAGTGAAATTACAAATAAGATTCTTTTCGGTGAAAAAGGAAGAGATAATGTGCAGCTCTTCAAATCCCTGGAGTCATTTGAGAGACGCAGGCGCTAATTGAGACGATCATGAGTTATGCCGTTAGAACACATGCTTCGCGTTAACCCAATGATTTCAATTTAGATCGCGATAGAACTATCTAAAAAAGAGAAAATTATGTCCGAACATCCTTTTTCTTTTTTTTCTCTTCTTTTTTTTTTTTTTTTTTTTTTTTTTTTGAAACTTTCATCTTTTGATTGGTCAATTGTCAAACTGCAGAAAGAAAAAAAAATAGATACCGATCCGTCATCATGTATATAAAAGAAGATCCATTACTTCCGTGATTCCTTGTAGACGGGTCGTTGTCGCATTTTACTCTCGCACGTATTTAATTTTCGAATCCGCAAATGAAACCATGAACATCATAGGCATCGCGATTGCTAATTATCGACTTTACATTCGTCAAGCCGATTATACCAATGGGAAACTAACGAGTTTCTTTTTCGATACAAAGGTAAATTTTTATTGCTTAAAAATGGTCATACATCATATAATAAAGCATATAAATATACGATACATAAATAAATCTTACGAAAGGGCGCTAATTTACCGACACCGTCTCATATATATGCATAGATCTTATAATGTAAAGGCTTTGTCGATAACAATCCTTAACGTTGTAGAGGGGAAAAGCAAATGAAAAAAAAAAAAAAAGGAAAAGAAAACCTCTTTTCTTTCTTCGTATTGCTTCGTCGCGATATACATTCTTGATTTGTTTCCTCCCTTTCGATTTCTTTTTCCATCCATCGTTGTTCGATCGAGAAAAAAAAAAAAAGAAAAAAAAAGAAAAGGATCATTTCATTTTCAGTTCGAATGATTGTTGGTAGGCATCCGCTTGCCATCGATTCCAGATAAAGTAATAAAAAAGATCCCACCTCATGTTATGAATATATGCGTATAAATAATAATAAATAAGTTACGGAAATCATTAAAAAGAGAAGAAAAGGGACCACGTATAATGTGCATAATGAATAAGAAGGAGAAGGGGAAGTTTATCATTTCTGGTCACCATGACATCCTTAATTGGCACTATTGCCCGTGACGTTTAATGAAGTCATAACCTCACCCAATTGGAATGAGACTTCACCGAGCTCGGTTACCCGCTCGGCGACCACAAGGATTTTGCACGTGTTGTGGCTGCTGTGGCGTGCATTTTTCACGTCGACGGAGACGTTCACAAACAACGGGAACTTGATAAATTGTGAATAAAATCGATTGAGTAATTCGCATCCTGATGAATCGATACGATCGAAATCGGTTATAATTCTTACCGTTTTGACGAATGACTCGTAATTCTGAGGAAGCTCGATTTCATCGCCATTCATATGAAGCGAATAGACGTGACCGGCTCTAATGCTAATCAACACATTTGATAGGCCCCTGAGCACAAATGAATCTAATCATACCATGCGTGTTCATTAGCAAACTGACGTATCCCTTTTTTTTTTTTTAGAAAGCAAAACCTAAAAACACGCGCTCACCTCTCAGCTTGGACAGGATTCCATCGATGGCAGATTGTGGGGATTCTTCTAATATGGGCATCATCGATACATCGTTTTGAGATAATTTTTCTATGAACCAACGGTCGATGATTTCGGCTATGTTCTGCGAAGCTGACTGCGCGTGAGCATCATGACGCGGTATCTGTGCATTTATTGGGAACGAAGATAATGTAAATCAAATCTCGATTCAATGCGGTCGCCACAGATTATGCGGATTTTTTGCATACCAAGTATGAACCGGCACCGTCGAAATAGAGCATCCTTCTAAAGCTATCCACGGGACCTTCAAGTTCTCCAAGAAATGCCATCAAGAAAGGATTGGAGCGAAAGACCTCGATATTGAAGGGCGGTATCTGATCCAGATCATCATTCTCCATCTCAACCAAATAATCTGCGACAAAGTAGCAAAAGGTGAGAGAGAAGATTAGAAAAATCAGAGTTTAATAAAAGGCAACTCTAAAAAAAGGAATGGAAATTTCCGGCCGATGTTGACAAACAAACAAACAAGCAAATCGAGAATGCGGCGTAACAAAAGGATAAGATAGGAGTGACAGGCGTGCAACAAAGGCATCAGATGACAGGTGAGTGTTTGAGAAAAATTCACTTGAATGAATGAATATGCAAAGGTGGGAAGTGCATAAAGGAATGAAGGAAAAAAGGAAATAATGATTTGTACTAATTGGCTTGCAATTTAAGGATTACGATGTTGAGAAGGGCAAATTACCTGGATTTATGGATAATCGACCGAAACTGGATAAAAGAGTGGAGTCCATCTTTGGGTGGGATTCAGTGACGGCCAAGGAAGGGAGTGAAGAGGATGAGTTCTTTGTTAAGCGTAAAATTTGCGGGAATCGAAAAGATGAGGTAAAGGTTTCTTCTTGGCCTTGCTTTGAAAAGATGAACCGTTCTGAGGGGTTTACGTTTTCTTTTTGCCTCTGGGGGTTTTTTGGTTTTTTTTTTGATTTGGGAAAGGGGTTGGTGAGTGGATGAGAAGAGGGTGCTGGATTTTTATGACAATTAATTGTGCGGGAGACGGAAGGTAAGAAACGTGAAGTGTGAAAGAAAAAAAAAGAAAAACAGACAAAGTAAGTTATATAATCAAAATAAATCCTAAATAAAGTTTACAGGATGAGAGAAGGTGAGGCTACAGAAAGGGAGGAGTAGGTGGTGAGGTGAGGGATCATATACTCACCAAAAAAAAATCCAAAAATCTGGTGCTACGCCAAAAAAAAGATTCGCATGAAAAGGGTAAGTATCATCGGAGGGGAAAGGAAAAAAAACAAGCAGTGTCACTATTGAAGTTTCTGCAGAATGAAATAAATTGTTTGCAATGCATCAATTACAATAATTATAATATACAAATGCTATTCTTAATGGATGGGTAACATAAATAATTATCAGATTTTATTTTACAGTACTCTATTTTATCTCACTCCATTTTATTTTTGCTTTATTTATCTCTTTTTCATCTATTTGTTATTTGACTATTTTATTATAGCTTTTTATAGATACCGAATACGCATTTCGGTTATCAATTATGAAATGTAAGATAATATTTATCTCTTGAATATAAATTACACGTACACACATGTGTTCAAGAGTTTGGTTGGATGATTTTCTATATTAGGCGTCGCGGTTTGCGGGGGGATGCGTCTTATTGGTTGTTCAAATGATTCAATCATCAGCATCCTTTACGACACCATGCGAATGACTCATCCAGACCAAGATAATAGAATAGACGAATACGTTGAAAGTACATAAGGAGGTATAGCCATGCATCACTTTTATTTCCTTTGGAGTGCCCAATGCGCAAGTAATATGACCGTATAAGGAGGAACACAATCAATTGTGACCTCTGAATTCTCTGAAAAATTTTCTATGCGCGGATAAATTTTACCAAACGTTGTGGCTATTCCTCTACTTTAAAAGGAATAGAAGGTGTCAATTGAATTTCATTTTACTTCAATTATTATTATTATTTTAATGATCGCATGCATAATTCGGGGGATAACAATGAACAATTGATTTGAACACAATATCAACACGGAAGCAGAAAGGAATTCTGAAAATTATTGCAGTGGGAACCTCAAAAAAAAAAAAAAAAGAAAGTGGGCGGAAAAGAAAGTTGATGTGACATCTCGGGATCTAGATTTGGGGGGTTGCGGTAAAATTAGTAAAAATTATGTCATCTATCCTCTTTACGATTTATTTGGATATTTTGTCGATCTCATAAAGCATTTTGGCTTTGATCAAAAAAGAAAAGTCAAGGAAAGGAAAAAAATTGCGGGGTAGGGGACGACGCACTAACGCAATCTGGCCGACTGGGCGTTGTTTGGTAAACAACGAAGAATTCAACAATATTCGCTTTTTGTTAAACCCCCCCCTTCTTCAAAATAACCCTGACGCGCGTCGCTCGTTGCACAATGTTTTCTCTTTGTACTTGGGTAAAGTAAATCATTGTTCATTCGGATGACTTTTACCGAGAAATTAAAAATTTTAAATTTATTACTCTTCATGTTTTGGCTGTTTGTACGCGGTGGCGAAAAACACTAGCAGAAAATGTTGCGCGACAGAGTCAACGTGCTACCATAGATAAGATTAGATGGTCTTGATAGGATTTAAAAATTAATTGAAAAAAAAAAAAAAAAAAAAAAAAAAAATTTTTCACATCGATGACACAGTAACAATAGTAAACATTACCGATTTTGTCACACCAATTCCTATACGGGGCCATAATGACATGCATATTCCCTCTTGGCCTCTCCGGCAAATGCCTCGCCTCAATAGCGTAGCTCTCTTTTAAGGTGCTATTTAAGTTATGTCAAACGAGTGACGCTATCACCGCCAAAGTACTTACACATTCGGAATTCACATTGGACACCGAGAAATTGCTCCACTGGTTCACACACATGTGTAAACAGAGAAAGAATCAATGAGGTGGTAGAAGGTGACACAGATAAAATATGGAAGACATTAGGTGATGGCGCAAACAAAGCCTCAAATTAGCGGTTCAATTGATAAGATTAGATCTCTCTCCGTTGTTCAACGAACGGACAAAAACGGAAGGCTGACGTATCCTTAAACTTTCAGTGTGCGCATGTATGTGTCACAATATTTGGGTTACACCTGGGTTAATGTAACCGTAAATATTTTCTCTGATTGGTCCTATTCACCGGTCATTGTCTCTTGCCGATTCCCTAATATCCAAATGATGAGGAGTGTGCAAAAATCGTGCCTAATGAGTGGACGATGGGTATATTGAGTTCAAACTCTTTTTTTGATGATCAATTTCCTATAAAAATGGTTGACCTTCTTTCACGCAGCCGTCAAGTAATTTCTGTTGGAACCTTGAACTGCCCCACACCGTCGCTTCCTTTTAAAATATGTGGCGATCACATCACCTGAAAAATGATAGCAGTTATGATCATAAATAGGATGGTTCGTGATTCATAATAAATGGCATCATCTCGGTGTGCGTGTATTCGCTCTTTTAAACAATGATGTTCTTCGACTCACCGCCATTGCATCCTGAAGTACTGATAAACAAGCTAACGATCTGCCATTCTTTAATGTTTAAACATTGAACCCTCCGTTTGCACGTTTCACCCGGCGGAAATGATCTCTCCCATATAGAGATCCATTGAGAACAATGGCTGATCAAAAACTTAACATATCACTTAATGATTGCCACCAATATCAACACTTTCCTCTAAATACTACGTACATGTGCATATATTTATTTATGTTAAGCCGCCCACCTTGCATTTCCCAAAACGTTCCCCTTCTCCAAGGCAAAAGGCGAATCACGATTTCGAGTATTTAAACTGCCAATTTTGCGAGTTCAAACTTCACACACGCTATCCCAGCCAGCCTCGAATTTTTTTTCACCCCCAAGAGTGGGGGAAATTTCCAAATCGAGAATAGTAGGTCATGTATTACCCTGTTCTCGTTGAATAAATGTCACACCCATGTTTTCAAAATCTCACGGACTGAAAAAGGAAAATCTTTAGGCAACACGCTCGCCTTTTTTTTTCTTCTTATTTCTTATTTTAGTTAACCACCTTCGTTATTTTCATTTCGATGTGTAAAATGACCCAAACAGTTTGCTTTTTTTTCCATTGTTTGATCATGATTGTTGCTATCACCTGATTAAAACTTATAAAAAGTATATGAATTATTTGATTTTGAGAAAAGAAAAAAATACTTCGATAAAAAAAAATAAATTAATTAATTTTATTGTATCTAAATAATGTATCTATATATGTATAGTTTTATGGATACAAATTAACAAAAATTTGATTCTAAAAATATTAATTGTATAATTGAAATTTTGATTTGGTTTTTTTTTTTTTGAAAAAATTATGTAACCATCAAGTTTATAAGATTGTGATTGGTAATATTTGTTACAGTTATATTTTCATCTATTTTGGTAATAATATTATGTCTCAAAGGTTTTTGTGATAGTATTAAAACCATAATTGTTAATTTATTTCATTAAATATCCTTGTAGATTTTTAATACATACTATATATAGTATTAGATATTATTAATTTTTTTTTTTTGAGTACCCATAATTAGGTTAGATTGTAAATTTATTAATCAATTGAAAACATAAATACATTTTTATTTAAGTAGCATGATACATGTTACAGCCAAACTATTATTCTAATCTAAATAATTCATCATAAGCATAAAAGCCTTTAAGTTTAGCCTTGGTGACAATATTTTATTTTATAGTATCTTTAAGTAAAAATTCTTCTAGTCCATTACATCATTGCCAACAAGTTTTCACTGTTATATATTAAACCAAACCACTGAAATACAAAAAACTACAAAAGAATAAACTGAAAAAAGAAAAAGAAAATATCTAATAATATTCAAGTAATTGTATAAGAAAACAAAAATAAATAAAAAAATAAAATTCTTCAACTTTCTCTAGATACCTACTTCTCAAAACTTCTTCTCAATAAGAAATACCTGATTAAAATATTTTTTCTTCTTCTAATCATCTAAAAAACTTATCTATTTTAATCTTAATTTTCTTCTTATATATTATCTAAGGAAAGTTATTTCCTAATAAAAATCTTTAATTTCAGTAACAGACTTGATTCTAACTTTCTTTATCAGTAATTTTTTATTTACTTATAGTAACCATATAATTTATAATGAATTCTAGATTCTTATATAATCCAATAAGAACTGTACCATGTTGTTTCAGTGTGATAACTTTTACTAGTCAATAGTTAAAGAAATTTTACTGATGAATATCTTCTATTATCCAAAAGTCAGATTTCTTAACAATCTTTTTGCCTTGTAATAATAAAAGAGTCTCAAAAGTGATGGAGATCCTCATCAATTATAATATTCTTTTACAATT